AGGTAAGACTGCACGTTCTACTGGTCAAAAGATGAATAAAATATAAGAAATCTAATTCATATTTATACATTATGGGCTTAAAACACTCAGATATTGAAATAAAATAATGTATGAAATAGATTTGTGCATTGCTTTTTGGAAGTCCATCTGAAAGGTTACCTATGAGTTCTGAAATTTACAAATGTGAGGTATTCTGAATAGCGTTTAACTTTTGTTTCCTAAAGCTTGTTTTGATTTTCCTTGTGAGCAGTCTAGATTACTCCTGGTTAAAGGACACAGTAGGAAGAAATATAAAACAACAATTCATCCATCTATTGTAAAACTAGAACTCTTTCCATTTTTGACAGCAGTCAGCTGACATATTTTATCACTGCAATTGTATTTGAAACATATATTGAGATGACATCTGACATAATGATAATTTTTTGGGGTGCATTTTTATTTAAAGTTGATTTTTCTAATTTTCATTTCAATGTCATCATGGTGGTCAATGATGTTAAAAACATGCCACAATTTTGTGATGCCGGTTTAATTGCAGCTATTAGCCATACATTTCAAGGGATGACACACATTGTCATGCAACAGGAGCATTGTGGTGCCTTATGCTGTAAGAAGAATAAACCACTATTGATCCCCCGCAGCCATGTTATATCATGGTAAGCAATAGAATTAAGATCTAAAGGAAGGGGAGTAGAAGGTGGTATTGGAAAATGTAGGAAAACATTGAAAGGGAGAAAGAGAGATATAAACTGTAAATTAAGTTTACATTGTATGGGAAGAGGAAATTGATAATTAAATTGTAGGGTGGGAGAGATGACAGAGATAAGCAGGAGTGATGTAGAGAGTCTCTGTGTTTAGATGTAGAGACAGATTGTGATTACTAGGTTGATAAAGTAGCATAGTTGGCTCTTTGAAGAGACACATCATAGGAGGAAGATGGGGAGACACTGTGTGTGAAATATAGGGGGAGGGACTGGGAAGTACAGATAAATTATATGAGCATTTTTGGGTAGTCTCCAGTCGGAGTAAAGCCAAAAGTCATAAATTCTATACTACTGTTAGAATAGCATGGCAATAGCATGGATTGGATTGGCTGACATGTTTTGTTCTGATAATCATAAGATATCCTGTCATCCACTATAGGAAACTATATTACATATTGCTTTAATATAATATTCACTGTTGACACAGTACTTTAACCTAGCACAAAAAATATTGAAGATGTTTTTCTATGTAATGTCAATGTTAAGGATACAACAAGGGGTCAAAAATATAACAAAGTGTGGCACAACTCTCCTGAAATGTTTTGAAAAGATTGTACCTTATTTAAAGCCACAGATGAGTATTTTAAGAACTCCCAAAAAGTAAAACCCTAGACAGAAGTCTTGCACTTTTTTTTTCTTTGCAATATGTGGTCCCACTGGTCTGATTATAAAATGATTGCCTTCTTATGTCAATTCCATTTGCTGTCTTTGCCTTTTCCAAAAAGGAATATAATTTGACTCATGTGCATTTATAAACGTTATTGCTTTTAACTGCTTCAAATAGGTGAAATATGTTTAATGACCATATCAGCCCCATTTAATAAGTCATTACCTGATTTATTTACTAAAATAATTCTAACCGCAAACTCTGGAGGCTGACAAACTACCAAAACAAATTTAAATTATTATTATTGTTCAGCCATTTTTAATTTAGATTTTATTAACTATATATCTGTGATATTACAGCTTACCATAAGAGGAGTTCACTGTGTCCTATGATCTTCTCTAGAGCAATAATGCCACTACTAGACCTTCTGGATTATTTATTCTAAATGTTACAGTCCCATTGCATTCTGCAGCTCTTTACAATTATAGAAAGGACACATTTAGAGGTGCAATGGGACATTTACTTACTTAAGACACACTAGGCACAATAACCACTTGATATTACTTAATTGGTTATAATTTCTGGAAGGTAAAGTGTGCATGCATTAAATCCAATCAGATTCTTCTTGCATTGCCATATAGACTAGAGTGGCTAAGACTCCCATCCATACAATAGAGCAAAGATATGTCCAGGCACACACAGGTCATCCAAACCAGACTTTTATTAGGAATGAAGTGGCAACGTTTCAGGCTTACATTATAACCGTTCTCAAGCCATAACAATCTCGCAATTCCATACATATTTATAATACATATATAATACTTACAATAGCAAATAGCTGAAGTGACGTATGACGTACTAAATTCTCTAATTTCCGTCCCTAATTAAATGACAGTCCTAATTCATGGGGTTTCTAAAATTCCACAAAACATGCTGTTTAGATTGATCTGGCAGCATACATCAGTTCAGTACTAAACTCTTTTTTTTTTTTTCTTTTTTTTAAACATTTTAACATCAGTAAAATCAATCCCCCAGAAGGACATCATGGGCAGAGGGGACCCAAGTGTCTGCTCCTTGGTATTTTGATCTGACACAAAGAAAACATTTATAATAAATATAAATAAAGGCAAGTAGCAGATAGGAGCAATGAAGAATACAGAATCACTAAAGAATGTAAAAGCATAAATTAGGCCTGTGTAGAAAAACCTAAAATCAAAATTGACATATTCTATTTCTATTTGCATATGACTTTGTATTTTCTGGGAGTATGATAAAATGATAATACAAATTCCTTTAGCTATACTTAAAGCATTTTTACAATTACTTTCATATTGTGTATTATGCCATAGTAGCCATTTTAGAAAATATTAAGTAACTTGGTGATTTTCTGTTCTACTTTGTCATTCTATATGCAAACGGAGACCCCTATATTAGTGGAAGATTTTGAATAATGAAGATGCATAAGTGGTTGATGGGTAGCCGATACAACCCATATCATTGTAATTGAGAGAGCCCAATCCTGGCTCTATTCTATTCTTGTGAGTGCACACACTTATTTTAAATTAGAATTGTAATTTCAATTGTACTGCTACACTATGTTTTATTATTTTTTTTAATTTGTTTTTTATTTCTTGAATTTTAAAAAAAGTGTATAAAAATTAACTGTAACATAAAAATTACCTGTATGCAGATAGAACACATTGCAATTTAATTGTAGGACTTTAAACATTAAGGAAGGAATGGCGTTAGCAGGTGTTGCTTGAGAAATCTCATACATTTCTCCTTCTTTGATGATCTCAAAGCTACTGTAGTGTTGAGCCGTCAGGTTTGAATTGCATTTCAGTCACATCTTGTTTTTCTACGGCTATAGAATAGCAATGTCAATGGGAATTCTTCATGTTGTATAGCCTGAAAAACTAATACATTAAAAGAAAAATTTGCAGTCATGATTTTTATTTTAAAAAAAGTGTTCCTGTTGTGTTCCTGCAATTTGTCTGTTTTATTATTGACTTTAGCTCAGCAAAGTGATTGGATATATAATTGATGAAATATTGGGTAGATTCACTTAAAAGGTTACTCCAACAACCATGACAAGTTCAGTCTGACAGTACAGCGTTTTGTTATGAAACCCTGGACACTGCATTTAACCCATTTGCTGCCAGAGAAGCACACTGGGCTGGCTAATATCAATTATATGTATAAATCTATGCACAGCAGGGTATTTAATGAATGAGAGGCATCAGCCTATGCTCTCAGTCAATGAAGCAGCAGTAGGATTGTCATCAGGTTCTGCAGCCCTACAGAAGCTGGATGTCATAAGCCTGAACATAGAGACCCATAACCACTACAGCGGGCTGCAGAAGAAATTATGGTTGGAGTTCCCTATAAACAATATGTTGGATATAAAAACTTGTTCCTTGACATATAATAAGGTACACCCGAGGCGGAGCTAGCCGCGAGCGTGAATGGACGCTTGGTAACTGAGCTCCGAGAGAGACACAGGGCAATCCGCATCCATCAGGCACTACCACATCATGGGACACCCCAAACGCCTCTTGACAGCCCCCAACACGGCGGGCAAGCAATCCGCGGCTAATACGAGCAACCTGACTAAATATTTCAAGAATCAGGGCGACCGGCGAAATGAGGCCGCAGGCTCCAATATGGCGCCGGACGATCCGGCAGAGCAATCCTCAGCACCCTCCAGCCCGGCGGCATCAGACAGCATATCACTCACATCTGACACTGACAGAGACAAGGATCTGAAAGAAATACTCAGAAATCTCCCTTCCAAGCAGGATCTGGCTGCTATGCTGCAGAAACATGAAGTGACCTTTCAAAAGAAAATGGATGACATCTCCACGGAAGTTAGACAGGTCAGTGAAAGGGTTAACTCCCTAGAAAATGATCATGACTGCACATGCACACAACTACAAGCCTTACAAAGCACTGTAGCAGCTCATAACACAAATGGCAGCTATGTACAGGGCACTTGACGACTTGGACAATAGGGGGCGCCGGAACAATTTAAGGATTAAAGGCCTACCTGAGGCTGAGGGGGAAAACCTACACTCCACTTTGCAAGAACTTTTTAACCTTATCCTCCGAGATGTAACAATGCCCATTCTGCTAGATAGAGCGCACAGAGCACTCAAACCCAGGAACCCTGGAGGGGACTCCCCCAGAGATGTAATCTACAGGCTGCACTACTACAGCGTTAAAGAGGACATCCTTAGGAGCCTCTGCCAGACATCCCAACCACTACTGTACCATGGAAAACCAGTGCAGATCTACCCAGACCTATCCTGGATGACTCTCCAGGCAAGACGGGTAATGAAACCACTCACTGACCTCTTAAGATCCAGGAATATATGCTACAGATGGGGATTCCCCCTCGCCATCACAGCGACACACAACGGGGTCACTTATATATCCAATCACTTTGCTGAGCTAAAGTCAATAATAAAACAGACAAATTGCAGGAACACAACAGGAACACTTTTTTTTAAATAAAAATCATGACTGCAAATTTTTCTTTTAATGTATTAGTATCTCATCGGCCGAGGACCCTTGACCTTCCAGAAGTCTGCATCCCAGACTGGTATTGACCAATACACCCGTCTCCACAGCACAATGCCCCAAGACTGAGAGGACAGACCCCATCGAAGAGACGCTACAATGTCCAAACCACACATCAAGGGGGACACAGACCGAGAGCAGGACCCTCCACCCAGTAAAGAAATCTCCCTACCAGCACCACCGGTCACCACCCTCCCTTACCAAGATTCTATGGTCTAACCCGCAAATACGGACAGTAGAGACTCTTCTCAACGAACTGACCTCATTGTTGAATTCATTCTGGCCCAGTTTGGATTATAAGCGTGAACGAGAACCACGTACTCCCCTGGACTCCCATCAACAAGAGACGCTCTAGTGACTCAACCTACCCTAGAGGCCAAGATACACACACACACACACACACACCTTCCTTGGAAAAGAATACTCTAATATCCCCAATGTTACGACAGACGAGTCAGACCTCCCAATCTCTACCAGAACCAAGGATCCAATCAAGCCTCACTCTGCTTGGCCCCAAAGGAGTAGGTATTGCACTGCCTCTACTGCGAATCCAGGACTAAATTCTAACCACTTCGGAACTGTACAGACTCCTGAACCCAACCCTGCAAACCTTGAGCACTCTGTTTACTGAACGGCAATGATATATGCCTATGGGAAGTCCAGCGGAAGACCCACTGACTGGTATCATACTTACTCTTAAACTGGCTTACATTGTGTGAGCACATTTTGCCTCCTTAAGCCTCTCCTTCCCTCCCCCTCTCACCTACCTCTGCTTTACTCACCGTCCCCACTTCCTTCTCCTCCCCTACGCCGTTCGCACGGTACTTCTCCTAAAAACCCGCATGCCGTGCTCCAAGTATGCTTCTAGTTATAGTTGAACCGAATTGTGTCACAAACTAAGGAGCTATAATTATTGTTTTATGGATATGTTCCAAATGCCTATCATGCCATTATCCTAGTTGCAATACTGTACTAGATGTCTTGGGCCATTGCAGAGTTGGAAGATGGTATGCACGCACTAATCACGGCCCAGATACCGGACCGGCACTAACGAGCCAATCCGACCCAGACCACCGAGCCCTCACCACCCATACCCATAGTGACCGGTGACCACCAAATGGTCCTATAAACTATTCACCCCCTCAAGCCTGATTTACCAATCCAAATCATTTAGCATAACATGGATTGCCCATCTCTCCCTATGGAAAGACGCACCGTTGCATCACCAAACCCCCCCCCACACCGAACTGATTCTGTCACTCTAAAAACGAGTGGAGAGTCGCCTAGAGCCTGAGCGGTGCCAGCTCAACTTCCCCTGGACTTAATTGCCACCAAGGGGAAAGCCACCGTCAAACAAGGCAGACTGACTCCACATTCAATAACATCTCAACTTCCAGCTCTACAAGTCTAAGAGTTGAACTGTATATAGTTTATTTGATAGTTTTACTGTTAATTCTGTTTATATTTCGTTCTGATCGCTACATATTCACTCAACATCACCACAACATAACACTCACCCCCGCAGACAACATGGCCAGTCTCACAGTAATCACTCTCAATGTCAGGGGCCTCAATTCCCCCATGAAAAGAGCGCTGACCCTCCGGGAGCTACGCAACCTAAAAGCAGACGTAGCTTTCCTTCAAAACGGGCTCAACCCTCATAATTCGCAATCGCCACTACCCCACAGGATACTATGGGTGCTACAAAGAGGCCAAGACTAGAGGAGTAGCCATCCTCATAGGTACACACGTACCCTCCACGCACATAAGTCACTATGCAGACTTCAATGGCAGGCTCCTCATAGTGAAGGGTAAAATAGGCAACACAATGGTGACGTTTGCTAACATGTATTTACCTAATACCAAACAAAGCACGCACCTGAAGAAATACATTACCAAAATAGAAAGTCACATGGAAGGTATCCTCATAATGGGAGGAGATCTAAACATGTCCCTAGATTCGAACCTAGACACCACATCCATGTCCACGTCCTACAACGCCCCCACTAGACTCAAGATGACCCAATTACTGGATAAAGCCTACCTGTTCGACAGCTGGAGGATCACCCACCCACACACCAAGGATTACTCCTACTACTCCACGGTAAAACATACCTATTCCAGACTAGGTATGCTCTTCCTCCACCACAGACACCTACACCTAATCCAATCCTGCAACTACGGCCCAATCACCTGGTTGGACCATGCCCCATTGTCACTGGTTATTCAAATCCCCTCATTGACACCCAACCGTACCCAATGGAAACTGAATGACACCCTACTAAATGACCCAACCATCAATAAAACAAACACTCACTGATACACTACGGCACTACTTTGAGGAAAACAAACCCACCATCTCCCCCCCACCAATCATCTGGGAAGCCAAGGGGCCACATTATAGCGTTAGCCTCAAAGCTCAAAAAACAGAGAGAAGCACATACAGCTGACTTACTCGTGGACATATGCCAACTAGAACAAACCCACAAACAAAATGTGTCCCTTGACATATACAAACAACTAGTGGACAAACGCACAACACTACAAACACTTCTTAACTCCAAGGTTAAACGAATGCTGCTACGCACTAAACACAATTACTACACACAAGGAGGAAAATGTGGCAAATTACTAGCGAGAGCACTCCAACAAAACAACCAACGGACATACATCACCACGATCAAACAAAAAGACGGCACACGCACACACCTCCTACCAAACATACTTAAAGAATTCCACACTTTTTACTCAGACCTATACAACCTGAGACAAGCCCCGCCCTCTAGTGAGGATGTGACCAATTTCCTTGTCACAAGGATCACCCACACTATCCCCCCGAATATCAGACAAACTTTCGACAGCCCCATGACACCTGAGGAATTCACCGCAGTAGTCAAACAACTCCCCCTGGGGAAAAGCCCTGGACTGGACAGCTTCACAGCCAAATATTATAAAACTTTCTCCAATGTCCTAAAAACTCAATTCGTGGATGCATTTAATGCGCTCACATCAGGGCATAACCTCCCAACCGAATCCCTAGAAGCCCACATAACCCTCATACACAAACCGGGGAAAGACCCCAAAGACTGTGGGAGTTACCGCCCCATCTCTCTGATTAACGGAGATCTCAAAATATTCACAAAGATCGTAGCCGAACGACTCCAACCACTACTTAGGGGGCTGATCCACCCTGATCAATCTGGTTTCGTGCCTGGGCGTGAAGCAAAAAACAACACAACGAAACTGCTCAGCCTCATCTACGCCGCCAAATCGGTACAATCCCAAAGCCTCATACTTACCATAGATGCCGAAAAGGCATTTGACAGGGTGGACTGGTCCATGCTCAAACTGACACTGCAAGAGCTAGGTTTCGGCTCGAAATGGAGTAAGTGGCTCTAAGCCATATACTCCAAACCAGGAGCACGAATATGCGTGAATGGACAACTTTCGGACGTGTTTCAAATCACCAACGGCACGAGGCAAGGGTGCCCCCTCTCCCCCCTGTTATTTATTCTCACAATGGAACCATTCCTACAGGGAATTAGGGACAGCCCGGATACAGCGGGCCTCATAGTGGCATAAAACGAATACAAGGTCACAGCGTTTGCTGATGACCTTCTGTTCACAATCTCAAATCCAGTGACATCTCTGACTCACCTCATGCAACAAATTGATCTATACCACCAAGTCTCTAACTACAAAATCAACGTCAGCAAGAGCGAGATACTCCCCCTCAACCTATCCCACAATACCCAATCTATACTTCACAAAACCTACCCATTCCAATGGCCCTCAGATTCGGTCAAATACCTGGGTGTCCAACTCACCACTTCCCTAGACCGTACCTATGACATCAACTTTCCTCCCCTCATTGCTAAGATAGCAGCAGACCTCAAGGCTTGGAACAAGCCACAATTTGGATGGCTTTGCAGGATCCACATCCTAAAAATGAATATACTCCCTAAACTTCTTTACCTGCTACAAACCCTTCCCATTAAAATTCCTACCTCCTTCTTCACACAGCTAAGCGGATATTTACAATATTCATATGGGCTGGAAATCCCCCCAGACTCCGATACAACTGCCTCACCAAAAGTAAACAGAGAGGTGGCCTGGGTCTCCCTGACCTGGAGGCGTATTACAAAGCTATCACACTTGCAAGAATATACGAATGGGCACACCCCCGTAACGACACACAATGGGTAAGGATTGAGGCCAACTTCTTCAAAACACCACTACACCCTGCTCCCTGGCTATGAAAAAGGCCCAACATAACAACACACAACTCAGAGCTACATCCAACAATCCCTCACACCCTAAGAACCTGGCATAACATCAGGAGGGACCAATATATAGCTCCACACCCCTCACCGCTCTACCCACTTACCGACAATCCAGCCTTCCTACCGGGCTCTAACCCAATCGCTCTCCAAAGTTTCCCTAAACAGACCCACACACTCACTCTAGGTGATGCCCGCAACGACAAAGGGATCATCCCACTAGAGGACCTCACCCCCAATGCCGAACCCTCTAGCATGCTCAGACTCAGACACGCACAAATTAAACACTTTCTACACTCGGACCCAATACTCCTCCAGGGACATAGGAACCCCACGCTATTCGAAACACAATGTTCTCAACACACACTACGTAAGGGTCTAATCTCAACCTTCTACAAAACAATTCGCCACAGTCGGGATGAGATCCTGCCAATTTACACCACACACTGGGACAAAGAACTGTCCATCCAAATATAGGCTAAAGAATGGCACAATTTTCCACAACATCTTCCGTACATCCAGGAGCAATAGCATCCACGAAAGCAACTATAAGCGAGTTGCCAAGTGGCACTATACGCCAACTCGCATTAACAGGTTCTTCCCTAACACACCTAAAACATGTTGGAGATGCAAACAAGCTGAGGGAACCTCAGGTTATATTTGGTGGCTCTGCCCCGTGATCCAGGACTACAGGAGAAAGATTGCCAGCCTCATACGCACCATCACTGGCATCAACCTTCCCAAAACACCTGAAACCATGTTATTCCTAACAGTTCCCCTCTGAGTAACCCAGACGAAACGTGCACGTCAGGGGCTCAGGAAGCCTTGCTTGACATTCCTCTGCTGCTGCACTTATTCAGCCGCGGTCTGACTAGCGATCTTACTTTTACAACTAGGCATTCTTTTTACTTGTCCTATCCTCTGTCTCTTTATTCCTTTTTGGGGGGTTGAGTTATATAGTATAGGCATTTATTAAGGGGTGCACGCGAAGGCACTTAGTTTTTCTATCTTACAAGCGTCAGGATTACCTATATTTCCTACATCTCTATTAATCATTGCATCTAATCCTAGCTTG